TGTACCACCCGTTCTACTTCAATTTTTTTCCAATTACTAAACCACCTCAAAAACTCCTCGTGCTTTTAAATTTTTTCTTTCGTTACCCTCAACACCTGTTTTCTTACATCTCAGCATTATATTCGCACCAAACATTATTCTCAAGCATGACGTGTCCACTGCCTCCAGCCTCCTCCTCATTGCAACATTCAAGACTATGTTTTGCACCCATAAAAGAGTTGATACATTTATACTCCGGCACATTATCTCATTTTTTCCCTTTTTGCCTCTTTAGATAAACATCTTTCCGGAGGCTCCTCAACACAACCAGATCATTTTTCTCTCTCGTTTGCTCCACGATTGACTTTGCCTTTCACAAATCCATCTTTTGAGAAGTCGTCTCACAAATTTCTAAATGCGTTTGCTTCCTCCATACTTCGTCCAGTTCTATATCCAGTTTTTTCGTTTAATTTTTTATTGCTCTCTTCACATCGCTCTGTTCTATGTTCACTATTTTGTTACATGCTTTCCCAAACTCTCCACCCAGTCTTTGCAATTGTCATCAACAAAGAGTAACTCTGACACTTCCCACTTCGTATCAGATTAATTAGCTTTCAATCCTACGCTTCCCCCTATCACTCAATAGCTCATTTCTTACAGCCTCATCTATAACTGTGGCAACGTCACACATCCCTGTCTAAGGCTTTTACTGGAAAATAGTCACTTTTCCCTCTTACATACTCTAACCTGAGCCTTACTCTATGAATAAAAACGCTTACACAAATAACCCGCACATAGAAGAGATGAGCTTACGACGACGTTTCGGTCCGACTTGGACCATTTACAAAGTCACACAGCGTGATTTTGTAAATGGTCCAAGTCGGACCGAAACGTCGTCGTAAGCTCTTCTATGTGCGGGTTATTTGTGTATCGTTCCAGTACGGTATTGTGCCTTGTTTGTTATTTAATAAAAACTCTTTGCTGTTTTCAATAACCTACCACAGATTCCATACATTTCAAAATCTGCGACATTGCTGCCCTATTCACTATCAAAGGCCTTTTCTAAATCCACAAATATAACAGACAATTCCCTAATTTTAAGTACTGTTCGCTCATATCTTCAATGTAAACACACGGTTTACGGATCCCTTACCCCTCAAGGAAGGTTCCTTGATGTTGGTGAGGGGCTCTTGTTTTAGGGAATTAGATCTGTGCTCCAGTTCCCCGAATTAAGCCTGAATGCCTTCCACGTCCCCCCCCCCCCCAGGCGCTGTATAATCCTCCGGGTTTAGCGCTTCCCCCTTGATTATAATAATAATAATACGGATCCCTTAACAATCATAAATTCTCGTTATTTCTCTGCAATCCTACATTCTATAGTAGCCCTAACTCTTCCTATAATATTCCCAACAAGCGTATTACCCTATAACTGTTACTCTCCCTTAACCTCCTTCCCCTTGTACTTAGGAATTACGTATACTCTCTGCCAATCATTAGATATATCACATCTGTCGTATATACACTTAACATTTAACAACTCAAAACATTCCTTTCAGTTTTCCAGTTATTATATTATGTGTTATTACTATATTGTGATTCATAATGTCTGATATTATTGTGTTGTCCTTCCATAAAATTCTATAAACTACGAGGTAGTCTGTAGAATTTTATTTGTCTAAAGTACTGAGTAATGCTCAGAATACGAAGGGATGATTACCATTGCAGGCATCCAGACGCTGCTGGTGCTTCCTGGTGGAGACCTGCTGGTAGGAGACATGGGCGGCACACTGCGGGCGTACCGTCAGATTCCCGACTTAAGGGAGGATGGGCGGCCAGTGTGCTCGGGTCCCCCGCGCGCCCACGGAACTGTCAAGTACACACACCCCAAGGATCCCACCAGGCCACTCCTCGCTCAGGTTGATACCAGTCATACACAAGCGTCAAGTATGTATGTATAATGTTCTCCAAGACCGGGGTCCTGACACGGCTCTTAATCTTGCGATGACCGGTCTCTGGTTCCCGAAGGAAGTAGGTAACTATACGAGAGGGGGTAGGTGGGGCCGGGAGGACGAGAGGAGGTAGAAGTATAATGGTACATTTATTATTATAATCAAAAAGAAGCGCTAAGCCACAAGGGCTATACAGCGCTGCAGGGTAGGGAAGGAAGCAAGGGAATTGGATGGCAGAAGGGAGGGGGGATGATCAGCAGGTTACAGAAAACAGCGGGGCAGGGGATAGTACGGGGGTAGAGGGTAGCAAGAGATTCAAGTAGAAAGGGCTGAAAGTATCAGAATTTGTGAAGTAAGTCAGTCGTTGTCAAAAAGTCAATGAGAGAGTCGGATGAAAGGTGGGTCCATCAGCGAGAAGGGAAGGTAAAGAGAGAGCAGCGGGCGAAGACGACGACAGAGGTAAATTCTGCGTGCTCGTTGATAAAGTGGGCAGCCCAACAAAATGTGGCTGACTGATAATGGAGTTGGAAATTCCCCCAAAGAGGAGAAAAGACCCCTCCCCAGAGATATCCATGAGTAGACGAGTAGGCCAATGGAAGCGGGAGAGATGTTCCACCTCGACATGGTGATAAAAAGAGGCCAGTAACCTTTGGTTTAATAGAAAATTTTGTTGCCAAGCTAGTAGACCAATTTTGTTGCCAACGGGTGTGAAGGGGGGAAGAAATTCGCAAAATAGTCCGTACATG